TTCGACGGATCAATGATACCTTCCGGACCGACGGACAGAATTTCTTCTCCGCACGACCCTCCACTGACTCGACCCATTCCCGTCGGCGCGCAGACACCTCCTCGCAGGTCGTGGTACGCCCGCCCGCAAATCTCTTTGACAGAGTCCGCGCTGCCTTGGCCACCGCTACTATCCGAAGGAGAACCAATCTTCACCCCGCCACCATAACAACAATAAGTTCAAGAAGAAAACAACACCGTATTTGCCTGCTCAAATTGTGCTACGGCAGCATCGCGCGCTCGTGGCGCCTTCAGGCCATTTTCGGCTGCACGTGCATATAATTTATTCTTTGCGTAACCTTGTACACCGGTGTACCAGCACGGATGATTTTGAAGATCAAGGTGTACCAGTAAGCCGTGATCACATGATCCGTTAGATGTAGCGGTATTAGTCCATGCTCTAGATGGGTATACAGCACTAATATACGACACGAATTTGACCTGCATTCTTCTAGTCGAAGTTCCGCCGCCTGTAGAGGATGTTGCAGGGTGTCTTCGGTAGCGTGATCATTGTCTGCGAGTGCCAGGTCAGCACAGACACCTAAGCCAAGGCAGCTGAGTGAACGTACGTGATAGTTCGGCGAGGGCACGCCAGTCTCGGGCAGCCTCATCTCAATCTGACGAACGATAGTGGAGACGATGACGCCAAGCTGGAGATACGCGAACTGCTCCCCGATACACCTGTGGCGGCCGGCGCCGAAGGGCTGGTAGGGGCTCTCCGTGCCTTTGCTGACGAGACCGAAGCCGAAGTCGACTTTGGCTCCATCGGCGTCGTCGTACTGCTTATACGCCTGCGCAGCGACGCCCTCGGGGTCCGACCAGCGCGAGGGATCCCATTCATTCGCGTTATTCCAGAGCATGGGGTCGACTTGGCTGATGGCCGCAGACGACATCGCGACGTGGCCCTTAGGGATAACATAGCGACCGTCCTCAGAAGGAGCGGCGAGCGTAGGAGGGACGACGACATCTTCGCGGACAACGCGCATGATACTATGGATCGGTGGATGGATACGGAGAGTCTCCCGGATGATAGAGTCGAGAATTGGCAGCTCCCTGAGCTCTTCATACTCGGGAGTGCGCCAGGTACCGTCAGGTTGACGGAAGTGCTTGACCTGTTCCTCGTAGAGAGCCTCGCTGGAAGTTTGGTAAGGACACCAGACACACATGTCGATCCGGGAATACTCACGCGATATCCGGGCGGTCGGCAACGTGCAGGAGAGTCCAAGAGGCCGTGGTCGAGCTGGTGTGTTGACCAGCCATGAGAAGAGCAATCAAGATATGAGCGATTTCGTGATCCTTGAGAGGGCGGCCGGCACGGTACTTCTGGTCCATGAGGGCAGCGATCATGTCGTGCTCCTCCTCCTGCGTGGCATCGTCAGGAAACTTTTTGCGGAACTGCTGAAGCGTACACACCTGACCAGGATTCGCCCTACGCTTCTGTATGATGCTGATATAGAAATCACTAATCTTCTTGTGCGCTGCATCACGCTTGCGGTAGGATTCGAGTGGAAGGTTAGGGAACATGAAGTGAAGAGGGGTGAAGCCGCCATCTAGGTCGCTGTAAATCTGAGCGTACTCTTTGGTAATTTTGGCCCGAACTTCGTTGCCTTGCAAAGTGCGAGAAGCGGTCAGAATCGTAATCTCCGACATAACCTTCAGGACGTCGAAAGAGCTCCATTCGTTGATGTCGTTCATTTGGAAAACTTTGAAGCCAGCATCGTTCTTCATGAACTGAGTGACTTCGTCCTCGATCATGTAGACATATTGACGGAAGTTCTCTGTCGAGAGGCCGAACTTGACGAACTTCTTCTGTTCCATGAGGAGCTCATTGGGACAGTCGTACACGACGTCTTTACCGAAGACGGGGGTTGTCAGATGCTATAGGCGCGTTAGAATGTATACGAGAAGCACTCTCGGAATTCGTACTGTGTATGCGTCCTCAGCAGAAAAGGTCGTGTGCTTCCCACCCATGATAAAGTTGTTGCCAGCGGATGTGAGCGCCACAGTGACTTTACGTCCCAAAAGGATAAAGGTGAAGACATTGCCATACTGCACGTTTTTCAGCATGATGCACCAAAAGCCAGAGACACGCTCGCCCACCTTCTCCTTGCAGTCAAAGAAGAATTTGATGGGATCCTGTCCATACGCGGCCGCAGAGCCAAACCACGGAATCCAATGCCACGCTACCGGAGGCAGCGACTTGTCCTTCGGTAACTGAGGAAGACTGAGAGTGCGTCTACCAAAACGTGGGTTACATGCTTACCAGCTGGTAGATGGCGTTGCTAATAATTGAAAGCACGGGAATGTTGACAAGGAGGAAGAGGGCGAGATTTGTGGCGGACATGGACGCAAAGGAGTCGTAGGCTTGACCGACGAGGCCTGCAATGGGCCCGTACTGGTTGAGAGACATAGTTGCGACGAGGACGTCCGCTGCTCAGAGTGTGGGGATGAGAGCAAGCCGGGAAACGCTGCCTCTCGCATGGACACTATTTATTTTATGATCCAGACGCGATTTCTTCGTCTCCCACATCGAACGATGGATGCATATTACGTAAGCAGTTTCTGGCGCT